CCAGGGTTATTTTCCATATCGGTATCATGAAAGTAAGAATTTAAATTTAATTTTACAGTATCATATTTAAATAGCAATTCTGGATATATTTCGGTAGCCTTCCGCATATTAAGCTGTTTCATAATTAATTGATATCCAAGTAACTGTTGGTGCATTTTTCTGGTCTTAACTTCATAATTTGGATCCATATTATAACAAATATAATCTTTTCCTTTTATACAGTAGCTAATGGACTTTTGTGGATTACCACCTGGTTTAATGTTTGGAGTAACACCATCGATAGTGAAGAATTTACGTGCTGTTTTTGTGTCGAACCACTCATTCATTTGTATCTATATATAAACATGTTTCTCACCGGTTTCTGGTGCAATTTCATCACACGCAATTGCCTTTTCAATTCGATAACCAATACGTTCATGTTTGGTAAACCATTCCATGATTTGTTCTTTTGTTAAATGAAAGTCCTTACAAATATATGTGAACAGCCCTTTAGTGTTTTGGAATCGGAATTCTTTGCCGCCCTATGAGGAATCTGCACCAGAGGTGTTACTCTCTAACATTGCATCGGAAAATTGAGGATTTGAGGATTTGAGGAATCTCACATATTCTCGAATTCTTCCAATTATTTTATTGCATGCATTATCTTTAGTTTTTTTATCTACTTTAGCCTGTGTAAGGTCTTTTTCGAGTTCTGACCTCAGTTGTGTAACGAGAGGTTCATACTCAATATGCTGATGGTTTTCAGCAAGGTGTTTTGCTCTTTCAATTAAGAGTGTCAATGTAATTCCTAAAATAGGAACAAATTCAGCCATAATAGCTAAGAATGCGAGAAGGTTGAGTTGGCTCATGTCGATTGTTGAAGTAATAAAAATAAAAAATATAACAAATATATTTTGCTTTATATTCTGTGGTGTTATTTTTATATTAAAAAAAAATTCAATTTTTATTTTTTTCAAAAATTTAAATGTATCATGCCAAGACATTCATGCATGAATTATTTCAATAAAAATTAATTTGGCTATCCTGATATATCTTAGCTAATAAGTCATCTAGGGTTACTAGATCACATTAAAATCATCATAACCATGGCCGGTCCCCTAATACACTACTCTACTAGCATGCTGTAAGTCGTTGTCAATCTCGCATACAGGTTGGGGTGGATTCATTGGTCTTTGAGAGCTGGTGCCAACAACAAGAGCCATGGGTCTTTCCTGGGGCGATTGCAAAACTCTCTCGGCAAGTTTGGCGACGGAGCTCTTGCTGATATGAACTGCTTGATATCGACTGTGCGAATGCACACCGCAATGTTCGACACTGCCCACACTGCCAACGAACTTGAAGTGGACATGGACCTTGCAGGGAATATGTTGCAACTCCGTATCGCACTTGACACACTTCTGCAGCTTGATAAGCGCTTTGGTGCTGGCTGGCTTTAACTGAAGGTTCTTTCGTACGCAACCATCTTTTACATATTGCACGGCACCGAGACAAACCTTCGTGATGCTAACACCACTTTTAGTTTTCTTTTAATTTTGCTGATGTAGCTGCCAGCCGATGTCAGTGGGTCTCGCATACATTTGGTCCGTTTTACGAATTAACGTGACCTGCTCAATCTCATCGCCGTCGATCCATTTTGTAAATTCAGATTTCATGTTGTAGGACATAGTACGTAAAGGTTGATGTACGTAAAAATTGGTGTCAGTGAGTTTGTATGACTAGTGAGTGTAAGTAGTCAAGGAACGCACTCAGAAAAAAGAGACCGGTTTTCCTGCCAGAGCGACTGCTTTTCCTGCAATAGCCGAAAATGGAAGTACGTAAAAATGCGCGCACCTCCTTCCTTGTCAGCTCCTTTTCTCGCTCTAGCTCTAGCTCTATCTCTTTTTTTTTTTTTTTTTTAAGAAACAGCACATGACATTTTAATCAAAACGAAAGCGAGTAGATCTACTGATATCTTAACCCGCAAATCAGCATCTTTCATAATAGGTGGTTGCGCATGAGAAATGAAGAGCATGTAATGCATATGATGATTATGATACAAATAGGAATATACAAAACAAAAAGCTATATTACAATAAAAAACCGACTCGTCTTATGAGTGTACATATTTATTGCCATTGCTTCTACAGTACCTCTTTCTTATATGTCTGATCATGACGCTATCATATTGTTAAAAACGTCTATTCATATCAGCGAGTTTGTAATAACGAATGGTAGCGCAGTGGTTACTGTCTTTTACGAAATGGTATTAAGAATCCTTAGAAGAAGTGAATCATGAGAATTGCAACCCTTAGAGTTTTCCAATCCATTTCATATCTGTCCCCTGCAATATGTACAGGTAACCTTGAAGGTTTTCTTTGCAACTGCCGATATATATTATAATTGATAATGCAGAAGCATGTGTAGATAAAACAACTGAAACTGTTATATATAATAATTAAGACGATAGCACATGAAAGATATGATGTGGATTATGCCGATATAGGATATATAACAATGTATTATATTTTGATGATGAAAAAAACATACTTATATATATATATATATACAGAAGGAAGAATGCTATGTTATTTCTTTTTAAAACAAAATGTGCTACTTTACACTTTGATGCTATGCTAGAATGAGGTTCGGAATATACTGTTTGGGGTATGGATCATAGGTCTGAAGTTTGAGGGATGCAGCCTTGCTTTTGTTTTTTGGGTGAAGTGGAGGACGAGGCAATGCTATTTGTGTTATCAGGTGAAGCTGTTGTTGTAGATGGTAAGAATGATAAAGATTCTTGACCTGATGATGATGATGATGATGATGATGATGATGATGAAGAAGAAGAAGAAGAAAAAAGACAGGGTGGGAGAATAGGGTCGTTTTGGATGGGAGTCTCAAGAGGGATCTCAGTACAGCGATATAAGGCCAGCGTCCGTTCCATTTTTTGTTTTCCCGCAGTAGCAATTTTTATCAATAAGATAATATGGTTTTATTAATATTTAATTTAAACCTTCCTATTATTTGGATTACTCCTTCAGGATTATTAATTAGTCAAAAATATGTGAAATCCACATCTATAACATTATCTACTAAAGTTTTAGGTAAAACTAAGAAAATTCTTGTAAAAAGTCCTATTAAAGAACAAATTAATAAAATCAAACAAGTAAATGCATTTATTCCTAATTTTGTACATTCAATGGATGGAAGTTATGTAGCATTATTAATTAAAGAAATTTTATCTAGAGAAAAAAATATAAATATTTTAACTGTACATGATTGTTTTGCTACAAATGCTAATGATGTATATATTCTTTAAAACATAGATAAAATAAGTGTTAACAGAATTTATGGTAATGATGAATTTATTAATAATTCTCACAAATTTATCTTAGATTATATTAGTAAAAATTACTTAATTAATATTGATAAAACTTTAGTGATTGATAATAATAAAAATGTTTATAATATTCCCCATAGAACACTGTTCATTAGGCACTTGTAGGCAAGTGTTTAGAATAACTACCGTTATTCTAGGGTTTCGACTACCGTGTCAATGACCAGCTACCCACGTCATCAAAAATCAAAGATTTTCTCTGACCACCCCTAATCATATTGATCATTATATATTATTTAAAAATAAAGCTTGAAAATTGGATATACAAAAAAAACTAAAAATTAAAAAATTAATAAACTATTAAAGAGCCTACTAAGTAACAAAACCACCAATAGTACTAACAACACCTAAAAACAATCTATTTCTAGGATTTGTTTTTGCAATTTTAACTGCAGCAGTTATTGTTGTTCCAGAAATAATTCCTGCAGCAACTCCAGGAGAAGTAATTAGTTTATTATTATTGGAGTTACTATTTGATGGATGATTATTTGACCCTGCACCTCTATCTCCAAAATTAACATTAAAAGTATTTTTTGATGAAGGATTTGTATTAGATGAATTAGGGGCAGAACTTATATAAATTAATAAACCTAGTAATACTAAACCTAAAGAGCCTGTAAAAATATTAGAAAGATTATCATTTAAGAAGTGAATAAATTCTATAAAATGAAGATGAATAGAATCAACTAGAATATTAGGAATTAAAAATACAGATGCAAATCTAAAATGATTCTTATCTGTAGAATAGTAATACTTATATTTAATAAACTTAATAATGGATAGAATATTATTCTGTAATAAAGAATAATAAGTTTGTAATAATCTATTACATCCATAAATATGTATTTTAAACCAATAACTAGATATAACCCAAACTAAGTTTGAAGTTAATCGCAGGATACGAAGGGGGAATAGGGCGATCGCTAAAATTTTTAAAGACATTTTTGTAAACATTTTTTTAAAAAATTAATAAAATTAGATAGCATCAATTAAATAATACTATTTTTATAAAAAATAAAGACATTAAGTTTCTCATTAAATAATGATACTTATAGAATCCACCTCAAAAAGATATGTCTGAATAAGATCCTTTTCTTTCCTTCTAGAGGAGGATATGTAAATAACTGTTTCGTGTTAAACCCATTACCCCACTAATTCTATATAAACACGTTTTTCTTTGATTTCTTTCTCTAATATTAATTGTCCCGATGCCGGTGCAGATGCTGTGATTGTCTCATAAGGAGGCGGGGGAACGTTAGCCAGCTTTTGCAGGGTGCTTTCGTACTGTGACTTTGACTAATAAAAATCATAAGAATGTTAATGAGTGGATTGTTACATAAACGTTCGGCTCCAAATATGGAACATAAGAACAAAATAAGACTGAAAGACAAGTTGAAACATACTAGCCATTCAAACTCGTGCTATTGCTCATTTTTTTCATCCTTGGATGCCATCTGTGCCACATACTAGGAAAGGTTTCTGTACACTGGCTTTGGCCAAAGTCAAGCTCAAACAGATATGCAAAGTACTCAGCAAGGGCAGTAGGAGCACCTTTGCACATAGTGTTTACATCGTCCCCGAGTTGCTCCTTCTTCTTCATCAACTTTTCTACAGACAAGCCATCCTATGGCAGCGTTCTCGTCGTGAGATACAACAAGACATAGCCTAAAGCCTCTAGGTCACTGTGGACCGATTGTTCTATATCAACATAAGTGAGATTGTCAGTGGTAGAAACAAAATAGATAACAAATAACAGTAAAAAATTGTTGCTGCAACTTGACTTAGAATAACATTATTTATATACATATATACATACATTCCTAATATTAATATATGTTTTTTATATACAATTTTATATTCTAAAATACTTTTATTCATTGGTTACACAAATGTTATCTATTTATAGATATGTATTTAAAGCACAATTACTATATTAGGTAATAGGTTATACAATTTATGAGTATAAACATTTACCCAGATACATATTACTGTTACCCTTAATTATAACGTCTTTCTTACCCTCTCTAGTGTCGGCATCAATGCTTGAGAATAGTGGCGTACTGACAAACTGAAGACCTTCCCTCTAGGCAACATGTTTTCCACTAACCATAAACCTTTTTGATAGCCCAAAATCAATAAGGTAAACCTTGTTCTCATCACCGTCCACCCCCATGACAGTATTGTCGGCTTAATGAGGGTATGTATCCTAGTTGCAATATTTCATAAAAATTAAGAGTTACAAAAATTTCTCATGATTACAAATTACTTTTAATTATTTATAAAATTGAATTTTATATATATAAAAAAGATAAATCGTATAATGGACCAGCAAGATTTAAATCAAAAAATAAATAATGAAGTTAATAAAATTACTGTAAATAATTGTAAATTTCTAGAATATAATTGGCCTATTATAAATCATAATTATAAACATCGTACAGAAATAAAACATATTGAAAATATTAAAGAAGTTTTGTGATAAGTTTAATATAAATACACAAGCACATCATAAGCTATGGGAATCAGATGATTTTGAATTTCCATTTGAAGCTAAATTAGTTGATATCGTTATCAGTAATTCAAGTGAAGCTGCATTAAAAAAAGATGAAATGATTAAATTACAAGAACAATTTTTGAATTTTGATATAGATGATAATATGAATATTGATGATGAAGTCAGTAAAAATGATAATGAAGATAATAATAGTAGTAAAGACGATATTCCTAAATTTAATGAAAAGAAAAGAAGAGGTAAAGGGAAAGGAAAGAAAAAACTTGTTGATATTAATAAAGTTAGAAATATAGAAAATGAAACATATGAAATAGAAAGCATAATTGACCATAAAGTCGAATATAATGAATGTATCTTTTTTGTAAAATAGAAAAACTATCCATCAATAGATAATAGCTGGTTGCATATTAACAAATTTAATGAAAAGGAGTTGTTAAATGAATATGTTTTAGAACATCATCTTCACATATAATATTAAATACTTAAGGTAAAACATTATTAAAACAAAGGAAGAAAGGATTGCCTATAGTTATCTTTATAGGTTTTCTTTTTTTTTCTTATTTATAATAAGATTATCTACTTGTTGTATATCTATCTGTTGTATAATATTTTCACCTTTTTCTTCAATTATCCTTCTCTTTTCATGAGTATGATCTGGATTATGTTTTCTGCAAACATATTTATTTTTATTACCCTTTTCTGTTATTTTTTTCCTACAAAATTTCCTATTATTCTTTCCTCGTTTAAACTTATGAGTACAAAAGCCATTATATATAGAAAGATATAGAAAATGGTATGATGAGAACAATTCTTTTATTTTTTTATTGATTTTTTCTTGTAATTTTGTGATTATATTGTTCTTATCAAAATAGTCAAATTCAGCCTGTATAAAAGTATCCATCTCATTGCATAGATTTGTGCATAATTGTATATGATTGATGGGAAGATAATTATTGAGAGCAACCATTTTAAAAGTAATTTTTATAAATTAATAAAAATTCAATTTTGTATTAAATAAGAAATTTTAGTATGCATGATTAAAAACTCCGAACTTGTAAAAATATTATAAATAAAGAAAATTGTGCAATAATTTTGTAATCACTATACTATGAGATGTTCTCTATGTCGCGATATGGGATGCCCTTCGAATGAATGAACTCCAGCCGCTGCAACTAAATTTCCAATGCCAACATATTAGTCGTCTATTTCAATTGTGAACTGCCCATATCAAATAAATATAGTCTACAATACTTTACCAATTGCAAGCCCAAAATACTAACTGTTTGTAGGGAAAACAACTTGTCGCACATCTCAAAGAGACTTTCAAGAGAGGCTAGAAGCAGGGAGTTGTTGTTCAGCGTATGTCTTTTTTTCTCTTTACAGTTTATGACGCTCATGTAGTGTACTTACGACCCATCAAATCCATAACTAGAGCGTTATAGTCGCCTTGAGTACCAAAGTATAATGGCTTGGGTGCTTGGCAGGTCCCCCTCACAACAGGATCTTCATAGCATCGATACTCGCGGTACAAGAGTAAGCTCTTCTCTTTAGCTTCCACTTTGGCAGCGACAAGCTTGGACTCTACGGTGTCCACAGCTTCAAGTACAAAATTAAGTGTGACTATTCAGAATTTTGATCATTTATGCATCTATTCGTTACTCACCAAGATACACTTGGCCTCATGCTCCTGCTCCTAGCTGCCTAAGGAGCACGAAGTGGTCATTGTCAACAGTGGATGGAGGCATTGTGTTTACGAAAAAGCAAGTGGAGACGATGAAAGAAGGGAAAAATGCCAATGAAAGAACAATGTATCACAGCAATGCTTTAATATGTGGGTACTACATTACCTTGTTGGTTATAAATTAATATTTGTTTTATTAAAGAACTATTTATTTTTTATATCTAAATTGAATTTTATAATATAAACAAAAAATGGAGCAAATAGATTATACAACATTAATTACAGAGGAAGTAAATACTATTATTACTAATTATTGGACATTTCTTGAATGGAATTGGCCTATTGTGCATAATAAATTCAAACATAGAACACAAATAAAACATATTAAATTTATTGAAAAAACTAAAGATATATTATTAAAAAAATTAGGTTATACAGCTGTATTTTTTTTCTTAGTTGTACTATACACAAATAAAGAGTATCCAGCTCCTTATTTTGAATTAGAAAAAGGCTTATTTTTATTTATCATTTAGTTTCTGGTATTTCTGGAGATGAAATTGAAAAATATTTACCTCAAAGTACATTTCATATATTTTATAAAAAATTTTGGATGAATGAAGAGAATAATAAAAGAATTAATAAAATAGTAAATGATTCATTAATGTATATGTTTTCAAATATAAAATTACATGTTTTGTCTGCAAGAAAATATAATCCAGATTTATTAAAATATGTAACACTTATTTTAGATAGTCATGATTCACGAATTAATTATACAGATACGGATTTAGATAGATCACATTTATATTCATATAAATTTAAAAAGAATGGTGTACGCACACAATTTGCAGCTGATATTAATGATATGATAATTTTTATATCAAAAAGTGAATTCTGTGTAGATAGTTCTGATGGTAGCATGTTTTTAAATATGAAACTTTATAATAAAATGGGTTGAATGAAAGAAGTCCCGGCACACCTACTTTCTTTTGTATCTCAGCACCAAGTGATCGTTACACAGTAACAGAAATATCAGTAAATACTACAGACGCAGGGCTATCAGATGATAAAAATTGCATTATATAAAAGGCAATGGTGGTGATACAGGAATTACTCAAAAAACTGGAAATATTATAGATAAAGTACAAAATTTCTTCTACTGTCTATCCTTTCCCTTTCTACTTCTTTTTGTACTAGGACCAGGCTGGTAGTCATTGTCATCTATAATATTATAAATAAACATAGTTTGATGTTAGTATCAGTAATATTAGCTTAGGTATTAAAGAATAATAAAGTAGATAATCTTTACCTTCATCAGTATGGGGGTCCTCTGACTCGTAATCATCCTCTCTACTATAAGACTCAAAGATCTCATTCGACCCTTTATCTTCAGCCTCCAGAATAACCTCTGTAAGGAAAGACCTAGGGTTAGTCTTTGCTGTATCTTGTTTACTACCCTTAAAATGGCGTCCAGGTTGTAGCTCGACCTCCTTTAGGCAGCGGCATAGATTTCCCCAAAGGTCCTGGCTATTTTTTCGACGCCAAATATAAGTAACTAGATGCCAAGGCATCATAGCACTAGTGCGATGACGTGCAGAGACATTCATCTTAATACCATTCCAAATACCTAAAGTAAGAGAGTTTAATAAGTGTATATACTCAGTATTTTATATATATATATATATATGTAAATAGTCATTATACCTTGAGGGTTAATTCATAATCATATATATTTTTGAAAACTATAAAATTTTCTCAATCATTAGATTGTAAAATTTTTTTATGTTTTCTTTTATTTATTTTAACTTTTTGTATTAAAAAACAAACAAAATCAAGGGACTTGATTTTATTGTTTTTTTTTGTTTATTTAAAAAAACAATATTTGTGAAACAAATGTTTGTTTTTTAATACAAAAAGTTAAAATAAATAAAAGAAAACATAAAAAATTTATACAATCTAATGATTGAGAAAAATTTTATAGTTTTCAAAAATATATATGATTATAAATTAACCCCCTATATAAAAAACATATACAGTGGTCCCCCGCTTTTTGCAGCAGCGGTTTTTGGTGGAAAAAACTGCAAAAAGTGGGGAACTACAAAAAGTGAGGATGAGTATGAGATGTTACACAGACTGAGTCTATTATGTTAATTAAGTGTCAATGATAGTAAACCAATTAAAAGATATCGGTGCTGTGCTGAGGCTACTTATTATAACTCAACTCTTATATAAAAGGCTGTCGTCTCACTCTTGATGTTTATATACTGCACTATCGACATCTCCACACCACTATAGTAAAAGCGAAATACCAAAAGCTTACTGACGAGCAAAACGACGCTTTATATCAACATTACATTACTCAAGAGCAAAAAAATCACAAGATTACTTATGGCCAATTGCTTGACTGGGCTAAAGGAAAATACAAGCTTGAAAATGTTCCCAACGAAACAACTATCTCGAGAATGATCATGAAAAGAAAGCGAGATGAAGAGAAGGGTGTTGACAGTAGTAAAAGACAAAAGTCGCGTGCAAAGTTTCCCGTAGGTCTAAATTATTCGAATACTTCTTCGCTATCCATATAATTAATAAAGAATAAATAGGAATTGGAATATGCCCTCTATACGTGGATAGAGCAAAGATTTTTTGAGAAGATCCCAGTCAATTGGGATATTATCAGAAAAGCCGGTGAAAATTTTGCAGCCAAACTGAGTATTCCGTCCAACGAACTGACGTTCTCAAATGGTTGGCAAAATCGCTTCCAAAACTGCTACAAGTTGAAGGTGCAAACAATTAGTGGTGAAGCAAGCTCTGCTAATGTCACACTAGCAGAAGCTCAGCTGCTGGAAATCCAGGAAGTCTTGAGAAATTATCCCCTAAGAGACATCTACAATATGGATGAGACTGCAGTATTCTACGCAAGTGCCCCCGTGACTACCATTGCACCTAGGTCATTCAAAGGATTCAAACAGGATAAATCGC